GTCTTTAATTTACGGGGTTAAAACAATTCTTCTTCTGCATATTTTATTTCTATCATTTTCCCATTAACTGTATTCTCTTTTTGCCACTTGTGTGCTGTAGCAAGAGAAAGGAGGGGTGGGCTGGGCTGCAGTAATTTTTTGCTTTCCTTTTCCAGCTCTGCTGCAGATTATTTAGACATCTATGTCTTCATTTTCCTGATGGGTAACATAATACGTGCTTACTGAGAAAAGCTGAGGGACTTGGTTAATTTTTGCATTAAAGTGCTTTGACATGCTCCAATAACAAGTGCAATGTAAATAGGGTGTTTATAGCTGAAACACTGATCCCTTTGGCCCGTGGCGATCAGTTTGGGGCTGCAGGAGTGCCTGTGGCGGGGCAGTTGAGGGTGATAACTTTATTTTTGCCTTCCTAGAATTTGACCTGGTGTTCATCTGCTTGAAACCATAATATCTATCATGACTGAGAGACCTGAAATTCAGTCTGGCAGCTTTGTGTGTACGAAGAAGTGATGTAGCAATACAAGTACGTTTTGAATCAAGATACATAAAACTTCTCTGCCGGGTAATTTAAAGCAAGTAGTTTGGGTAGCGTGAGAACTGCATGTCAGGATGCACATGTCACTTTGAGTAAGTGTGAGCGGTGACTTCTGGCATAAAATAAAATCAGAGCAGAGGAAGATTCCAGATGATTTTGAATTAAACCCCAGCATTTATTGCCCTTGTTCTGAGACATGAATAATGTTAGTTGCTAACAAGGTATCCTGTTGCTATCACTAATAGATTTTGATGGGAGCACTGGGACAATTAGCTAACATCCTGAAAAGTCATTATTTTTCCCTAAGAGTTTGTTCTTTAGTATTCCTCGGAAATATTTCTTTAGCATGGAGATGTTTAATTTGCAGTCTTAGTTCTTCTCAGTCTGGTTTTGCGCAAAGATAAACATGCTTTTTGTGAAACCCATCCTTAATCAATCTTAGTCTTGAGATTCTTTAGCCAACAAAAAATCAACAACATTTTTGCTTGCTTTGTAGGAGCTGTAATTTTTTGAAGTGGTTACATTTTAATGGGGATAGGAAAAGCCACAGCCTTGATCTGAGAACTATGTTGCTGTGAAATGTCAAGTCTTTTCCTCGATGGAGAGGACTTTGGGGAGTTTTCAGAGAGCAGGTTGCCAATCATTTCAACAAGCAGCTCCTGGCAGAGTGGATGAGCCCATGCAGAGCTCCATGCCGTCACGGTTTGGCCGCTTTCGGTGTCTGACTTCTTCACTGTGAGGGTGGTGAGGCACTGGAACAGGTTGCCCAGAGAAGTTGTGGATGCCCCATCCCTGGAAGTGTTCAAGACCAGCTTGGACGGGGCTTTGAGCAATGTGGTCTAGTGGAAGGTGTCACTGCCCATGGCAGGGGGGTTGGAACTAGATCATCTTTAAGGTCCCTTCCAACCCAAACCATTCTAGGATTCTATGATGATTCTATGACACAGCATCCCTTCCTGATCTTACAACCTGATGGTGGTGGGTCTGATCAAGAGGACAGGAGACCTTTCTATCTGTCTGTCCATCCGTTTCTCTCTTTCTTCCTTGCCGTGAAGAGCAAGGATAATGCAGAAGATCATCAAAAGCTCTTTGCCCCTATCTGAGTCTTGAATCAAACCACCAGTGCCGATGGAGTGCTGTTGATTATGCTGTTTTGGATAAAATACTAAAAGCATTGAACATCTGCGTCCAATAAGGAACCCACAGTACTTTTTGTAGAGCAAGGAATTTAGCTGCCTGTTCTTGTTCCCGCTGTATACGGCATTTTTCACTTTGCTCATCGCTGAGTGGTTTTGATGTGTTGAGCAGCTGCCACAATTAAAGATGTTTCATCAGTGATGAGCAAGTTCATAATTGCGTATGTTAGGTGGGGATGGAGGAGGGCAAGCGGAGTTAAACGTTTGTGTTTATGTTCGGTAACCTGAGTGTGTCAAAAAACTGAGGTATGTGAAATATATGTAAAGAGATGAGAGAAAAAATTTGTGTACAGACTGCTCTGGGACTCCCTGACACAAAAACTTGCACTCTCCGTGTACATTTGCATGTATATATAGTAGAAGGTTTGCAACTTAAAAATATTTTTTTCCCCCCGGTATTGATATATGTCTACAAAAAATATTGATCAAAATTAATAGAGTGTTTAAACTGCATTTATTCTACATAATTTTCAAAGTGTATGGAGGGCGGTTAATTATTTCCAAATATGTGACTCCTTTCCGCGCCCCCCCCATTCCCCTTTCCCCCCCCTTAAGTCTAGGTTTGAGAAGGGATCAAAACATGTTGGTGCCTCAGTAACTCTAACAGTTCACAGGTAGTCTCATTCATCTCCTTTAAGAGTAACACTGTTAGTTTAAGATGCATGTAGTGTTTATGGATATAGATTAAACTAATTTTAAAGAATACCAGTTTAAGGAGACATTGTCTTCATTGATATTTCTACATGGCAGTGAAGATATTAAAATTAAGCAGTTAGTAATCAGTAATGGTCACTTTTTACATATTCAAAAATCTAATTTGATTAGAGCTTCTTCAAATAAAGCCTCTAGTCTGATGAGCTATAGCAATGTAAAATGAGACTTCTTGTCACTCTACAAGAATCATAAAATTTAATCTGATGTTCAGACCAAAGAAGTCAGTGTCGTGAGGTTTCGTTATGCATTTGTATAAAAGACTATTTTACTTATTTATAATTCAGAAATCATTAAGGAGTTTAATAGTAAGTTATCAGGAAATGACTCCTATACTTGAAGGGCAAATTTCTAAACTTGTGAGAAGGCTGTGCTATACTCTTCACCGATAACAGAAGTTAAACCTCTGCTTTAAGCAAATAACAATCAGCCCAACCTTAAATACGGTTATACTGGCATGAATCATGAACAAAAGGCAGACTTATGGCCTGTGTGTGCAACAGCAGTGCTGCTCGCAGTGGGCTCCAGCGCTCCTCTCGGGAGCATTTGTCTGGTTTTGTAATGCTAAAATTTCTGGAAGTGGATCCAGTCACCTACAGAAGCGATGATCTTAAGCCTAGTAACAAATATTTTTCTTATCCTTAGTTAGTTTTCACAGATCTCTTCTAAGTCATAAAAGGTTCTCCTACATAAAAGGTTCTCCCGCATCCCGCGTGCGAGGACCCCATAAACGGAGAGATGGAGGCTCTCAGCAAATCCTGCATCTGGCTGGCTTGGGGCAGCTGCAGCTACCTTCCCGTAGGATGAAATCATTTTGAATTGGGCTGAAAGAAAATATATTGGATTAGGAGAGTTTTAGTTTGCTTAAAGAGACTTGCTTCCTGTGGTCATAACTTGAGATTTCCTTGTGGTAACCAATTCCATCTGTCTGTGGTTTTTGTTTCTGCTAATTGTTGTTTTAAGGGGATGGTTTAGAAGTGCATTGTTTCATTGTCTGTTTGTGTCTACAAACCCCAGCCCTTACAGCAAGCACTCTGTAAGGACAGAACCAGAAAATCAGTGTCTTTCCATTCTTACTGGGCACCATATTTTGTTGAAGCAATTGCAACTTACTGGATTTCAATTTCGTAATTAAAATCTTCAATCAGGAGAATGGTGCTTGTTTTTCATACCACTTTTGCTTGTAATATTTTGGGCCTCCACTATGTGATAGCATATATATGTGGGTGTGTTGGTGTGTGTACATACGCGTGTGTGTATGAAGAAACGTAACATCAGTTTAAGCAATTAAGTGCAGTTGACAATAAGCAACTAAATAAAGAACCTTAAGCACAAATACAATGCGCATTGAGCTAAATGGAAAGCATTAGAATGGCACTGGGTGAGTGATATATAGATGTAAGTCAGTGACTGATGTGCTGTTAACATTAAGTAAGTTGGTCAGTATCTTTTGATGTAGGTGGTTTTTGTGTTATTTGCTGTTTTAGTCTTGACAGTATTGAAAAAAACCCTACTCTGCCCAGTTTCTCTCCAAGACTTGTTTCCTATCGGCTTTCATGCTAGTTAAGAAAGGCTAGTTAAGGCTCTTCATCCAGAACGAGATGTTACGCAGACCTTGCTTGCAGTTTGTTTTAATTTCTTAGGAATAGGTTGATGGTAGAAAAATTCTTTGATAGGAAGTGAATTGTTTTTTGAAGTACTAGAATAATCAGACCATAAGTCAAATGTCCTCAAAATGTTCAAGGTCACAAAAATGTTAACAAATAAAATTGGCCTACATAAATGATACAAAACTGCATTTAGGTCCTTGAAAGCTTCAGAAGTGTTTCCAGTTATTTATAACCCTTTAAACCCCTTTTTATGTAAATTTTGTTAAGGCATTGGTTTAATTATATTTTATCGTCATTAGAACTATGCACTGGAATACTTTTTGCATTAGAGTTATGAATGTATTTGAATTATTTAACCTAATCAAAATGTAACAAAACTTCAGACTGTCGAGTTCCTTCTGCTATTTGGAATGTAAATCCTCAAGTTTTGGTGCAGAAAACACATTTACAATTGCTCTGTTAGATCTTTTTCATAAAGACATGAAGAAGAAATCCTTTTCATGCAAAACACAAAAATTTTTTAAAAGTTAAAGATGAAATAGTAGTGCTGGTGAAAGAGTCTCTAGCAAGAAAAAGTTTGGTTCAACAAGAGGAGGAGACACTTTCTGATGGCATGCCTGGATGCTACGTGTGTTTCCTGAGCTGGAACCTCTACTGTTTAAATCTAGATGAAAGAGCATGCTCTTTTATGAGCCTGTCTTTCAAGAAATATTGTGGGGGAAAATACAAGATATCATTGTAGAGAGCAGATGCAATCCACCGTGATGAGCTTATACCTTCTGGGCTTGGGTTTCAGAATTTTTCCCGGACCCTTAAAATACGTATAATGTTGGAGTTACCAAACTAATTATTTTTCGTTGAACCTTCAGAAAGATGCATTTCCATTGTAAATGCTGTGTAGGTTTAATAGATACGGTTAGATTGCTAATCCTGTTGTTGTCATTTCAGATTTGATGGAAATTTTAACACCAACGTTTCTAGGACTATTAGCTGCGATAGACTGTCTACCACTGTCAATAGCAGAGCCTTCAATCCTGGACGTGACTTAAATTCTGGTAAGTAGTATAGTTTTGGGTTTTTTCCTTCCACTGTAGGCTTTTTCCCGCCCCCCCCCATTAGACTTTAACATTTCCTTGGCATAGAGAATTAGCATTGATTGCCATAGCAACAAGCTTTTATTTCTCCTTGAAACTGTCACACTGCTCTTGATTTGAGATTTCATGATTGAAAGATGATACCTAAAGTAATGCCCTTAGTCTAAGTACTTTATAAAAATGTCATGAAGATTTTATTCCAGCCTACCATGGATAATTTTGTTGTGGTTTATGCACTTTTTATTTCTTCTTTTTTTTTCCAAGGCACTTTCCTTCCTAGGCCTGTCTGCTTTGGCATGAGTAGTGTCAGCTGCTGAAGGGGCCATGCAAAGAAGTTTCTCTGATCTTCTTAGCTGAGTTCAGCTAATGTGAGGCTGCGTTTGCAGCGATATGCAAAAACTAACTAATATAAGGACATCCTAAAATACTTCCTTTCTTTGTCTTGTCAGGGCATTTCCATCTTGACAGTCAATGCATTTGCTTGACATACTTAAAGAGCTAGAAATACGCTTAGAACCAAAATACATATAACTTGTCCCTGAAAAATTCAGCTTTTGGTCATCCAGTACAGTAAGGTTTTCTTTTTTCATCCTGGTCAACTTGAATTAATACATGGATTTCAGGTTTTTTAGTCGTAGTTTTGTTCAGCTGTTCCATCTTGCTTTTCAACTTTTTATGACGCCTTAGTGCTCTAAATTAGAGAACACTATAGATTTTGATTGTGAATTTCATTTAGTGTAAGTTTTGGGGTTTGGTGGTGATTTTGTTGGGTATTCTGTTTTGTTTTGTTGTGGTGGTTTTGTTTGGTTGGTTTTTTGGTTTTTTTTTTTTTGGACGAGTGATGCAGACTTGAAAGAATGTGGGTTTTTATTTTTTTTATTTTAATTCTCATGTGTCTTTTGGAATAAAATACCGAAAATTTTTTTTTAACTTGACTGATGAAATGGCAGACCCGCCATTCCACCTTCACCACACACCAAGCATTTGCCTATCTTTCAACAAATAGGATGAAAGAACCCCAAATTTCTGTTTAGCCTCTCCTACTGTGCCCCTTCTTATAGCTTTGCATTGTTTCTGCATTTAATTGCTGTCTTAATGAAATCTAAGAACAAAAAGTAAAAACCAAAAGCAAAACGAACAGTCCCCATAGGTTCCTTTCCATCGCATCCATTGTATACCACATCTTGAATGCAGGTGCTGGCCAGACAAGCTAATTTCCTGACATGTGTCTCATCACCATAATTTGTGTAGTGTTTTCCATCCTAAAGATAGGCAGCCTTTGTTCACTTACTGTGATTTGCTGGGCTTTGTTTTACTCATAAGCTCTCTCTTTATTAAAAACAAACAAACAACTTATTCTTATTAAAATAATGTTTAAAATCACATGCCATTGTTGATTAATCAAAATAATTTTTGAAAGCAAGTTTTCAGGCACTGTTATAAAAGCAAAGCATTGAGTGAATCACTTAATGTTTTTTATTTAACTAGAAAAACCATTCTTTACTTTTTCTACTGCAGAAGATGCATGTAAAGTATTAAAGAAATACTCCTTCTTCGTGAGTGGTGGAAAACAAATAAGCTATAGTTTCCCGTAAACATTTTTTAAATTTCTGGTTTGAATTCTCACAAAAACAACATGAGTGCATGTTCAAGCTTCTTGCCATCCTGGTTCAACAGTAAGACTTGAGTGCCTCCTCTTCCCTTGCCTCTGGCTTGAAAGCTTCCCGATGAAAGGAGTATCTTCAAAAAATGGCATTGGCAGGAAAGGGCAGCAGAAGAGAAGAGGGAATTGGAGTGATAGTAAGAACAGGGAATTGCTTCAGGATTTATTGACAGCAAACTCCTCCAGCTTTTCTGTTGTGGGGGGAGGTTTTTTATTAGTGAGAAGATGTCTGTAAGAGAGTAATGGAACAGAAAGACTGGATCGATGCAGAAAAATGAGGTGGAAACAGGTTGACACAGGTGGAAACAAAAGTTGATATTGGGTACACACCTAGTGAAATTAGAAGTTAAGTTTTCTGTAGGTGAGCTACAAGGAGTACCCTTAGTCCTCGCCTCCTTGTGTGAAGGTGCTTGAAGGTCTGTGAGATGACGGTTCCCACCGTCCCTTCCCTGGTCTTCAGTTGAGAACATCTAAACCACGTGAGCTCCACCACCCGGGCCACAGAACAGGAGGCTGGTGTGGCTTTGGGGAAGGGTTGCTGCCAGGAGGGTCGAGCAGAATAATGCTGGTGTAGAGCTGGACATCGCCCACGTCCAAAGCAGTGTCCCTGCAGAAGTATTTGGGTTTTGGAGTAAACTGGATGTGGGAAGGCTTAGGGGCAGGAGGCTGGGTGTTTGTTTTGTGGGTGGAGGGTATTGTGTTGGTGGTATCTGTATCGCTCGCTTATGTAGTCATGGGCCACGACCTGTTGTGCCAAAAAAGCATCTCTGCCCTCAGGAATTAATGGTCTAAGACAATAGTTGGCTTGAGACAGGCTGGGGATATAAACAGACTGGGAAGCAGTTTTGGTCAGAAGGACAGAATGCTGTCAATGCACCAGCATCCCTACAGCTGTGAAGATGGCTGTCAGGTTAGAAATGGGTTTTAAAAGTACTTGCTTAGTGTCCTCTCTCTCTCTGAACTCTTAATTTTTTCTTATTTCTGCAGTGACCTAGTTCTGTGAAACCACTTACCTTAAAGGATACACTTAGGACAGAGCACTTTGTCTGCACAGGAGCTGTTTCTGAATAAATCTACGTATGTGTATTCATTACTATAAACTAAAACTGTCTTTGAACAAGGATAAAGATCAAACAAGAAAAAAGTTTCTCTAATCTCATATTTTTCTTACTTCTCTTATAAGTGTCCTCATGTAGATCTACTGAGGAATATCTGTTGCACTTTGGATTCAGACTCTACCTCAGCCTGAATTACTTTTCTGCTCTAAAAAGCCTAAGAGTTGTTGGTACACTTGGGTATTTTGATTGTGTTTTTCTCTCCTGCCTTGCTTTGCTCGTTTAGACTTAAAGGCAGGATGGGAAGCCACGGCTTCCCGAAAATCATGTCATACTGTCTTTCCTACTGGATGCAGCGTGATGGGGAGGACCCCAAGTGCGTCAGCCTTCTGGAGAAGGGGTTTGAAAGCCCTCTGCTCCTCCAGCCCAGAAACAGGACCTCCCGTACTCTTCTCTAGTTTGCCCACAGTTTCTCAAACCAGCCTGGCCTGTCCATCAACCAGGTTGTCTTCCCGAATGGGTTGGTCATTTCATTCTTCATGTAAAAAAAAAAAAAAAATTCCCATGAATATCTCTCTTTTCTGGCATGAGTTTTGCAGTTTAAATAATCCAGCCTATAAAAAGCTCTCAGCAAAACATAAATTTAAACTCTGCTGTGTTCGGCTTCAATCTCAATTCTTTAAATGTTAATCTTGGCCTGCTCTGCGCGCAGTGTAAGAAAGTGGGATCAGAGTGGTGAAGTTGTAGGTGTTGGAAGGGAATGGAATTTGCACCACAGACTCCGGGCGAGTCACAGGGGCAGAGCCTGGGAGAGCCCTTGGTGCAGACAACAGCCTCAGCTTCTAGTCTGAACAATGTGTTGAGAAGGGTCAGTGTAGCTCATTAAACTTTCAAAAATAAATAACTTTTTTTTGCAGTTTTCTATTGGATTTTTATAATACAGGAGAAAATAAACACTAATCTTGGGGAAGGAAAGAAGAAGAAAGAAATAGATGTATGTCTCTCTTTTCTCAACCCTTAAAAAATAATGCTTTTGCTGTTTTTTTTTCCTTGATATTAGGTGACTTTTTTTTTAATGTCATGAAAAGGTTTTGTTTTATTTTGGCTTGAGTTTTCCATTTGGATTACGTTTAGCCATTACCACAAAATAGATAAGGAGAGAGTCTTTATTCTTGAGATGGAATCACAGGCTTCAGTTAGTTAGATTAAGAGATCTGTCCTCACTGGTATGAATAGTCCTTTATTTATTAGACGACAAAATCTTACCCAGAGCCAGTGCATTATGTTATCAGATTCCTTCATTTTTTTTTCTTTTTGAATAAACAAGGAACCAGTAAATCTTTCTCCTTCTCATCCTTCAAAGTGCCGAAATATCTGTTTCAAGTCAGGCAGCTTTAGCAGAGTGCTCTGCCCCAGCAATATGCAGAGATGGTACCAAGTTGCTCAATAAATATTGTCTGTGCCTTATTTGAGGTGTTGATGATTTAAAATGTGGAGTCCTTGGTCATGTTCCTTACATTGCAATACTTTAAACTGATGGCTCGGGTGAGTTGAAATAGTTGGGAAGTGTTTGAGCAGATGAGCTAATACCACCCCCACCCTCCAAATCCTTTTAATCAAAGAAGCTGGGCTCATTCCTTGAAACGAAAGATTTTTTTACTACTTTGCCCTTCAGAGTCAAAAGAGCTCCCAATGAGCGAGATGGGCTCTGTCCTGGCTTGTGCCATCAGCAGAATTTTAATTGGGTTCGAGCTGCAGAGCCTTTTATTTCTGGTGAAAATGCGTGAGCCAGCATACAGTTTGACTCAGAAAATCCTGGATCAGGTTTGTAGGTCTGGAGAGTTAGAGAATGTCTTTACTTGTAAAATAAACCCATTCGGTTTCTGCTGTTGTTTCTGGGGAACACTAAAGTGTCTTCACGATGATTATTTTTAATGGAGGTACTTGTCAGAGAAGAACTGCAGTATGTGTGTTCCACAGAAGATTAAACTTCTCTTTTTTTGCGGGGTGAGAACCGTGAGGTCTGTGGCTCAATAAATGTAATGCTAAAGAGGACTGTAAGAAACTCTTTCATAATGAGCAATTATGTTCAGTAGTTCCTTTTTTTTTTTCCCACTGACTGTTTGTGCTGTTCTTTGAAGATTAATTAGTTAATGATTTGACTACGCTTTGAAGATGTAAAGTGGTATCTAGAAGTGCTAAGTGTTATCATATCGCATTCTCTTTGAAGTTTTATAAACTCT